TTAGAGTAAACCAGTACTGCATTTTTACAATACAAGCTCAAAATAGCCTGTAAGGTCTTACTAACTGCTTGATTAGTTATTTCTATAAAGCTATATTAAAAGGGACCATATTTCTTCCAATAAAAGCTTGATTATTGATAATTAAAATTCAAAAGCTCAACAGTAAATGATACCAGATTCTTTTGTTTGCATGTACTCTTTTTCTGTATATTGTTATTTATCTATTAATCTTTTAAACATGCTTTAATTTCCAGAAGCAAGATGTGATTTTCTACATATTGTATCATACCTAAACTGAACAGTCACAAGAGACAAGTGTTAAAATGGCTGAATTCTGCTACTAAATATAAAATAGATTCCATTTAAAAAGAAAAAAAAGGTCTTCTCCCCTACTTTTAAAAGTGGAATGATCTTTTAAAATAAATCTTTAAAATAAGAAGTATAGTACTGCAATTTAAGGGCATGAACTAAAGATCCAGACTATTTGGGGTCAAATTCCAGCTACAACACTGTGTGAACACCTCTCTGAGCCTAGGATTCCCGTTTTGTTAAATGTGAATAATAGCATCACTACCCTAAATTGTGGTGATGAGTAAAGGAGTCAATATGCACTTGCAGCAGTACCTGGCACCCAGTGTTTTTAAGTGTAATATTATAGGTCAAGGAGGCATGGAAAACTAATTTTTTTCTTATTATACTTATGTGCAAACAAAATTAATAACTGTCATAAAACCAGTTTTCAAAAAGGTCACTTATTTAAAATCTTGTATGTGCTAATGGGAAAATGGTGCAATTTAGAAAAAAATAACCCTAAGTTTCACTAAATAGATAAATGAAATCACTGACTAGGTCTGAATCTTCTTGGCCTAATGAAGTACATTAATCCTAGATTCTTTAACAATTAGAAAAGGCTTAAGTTAAGAAAATTTGCTTTTTATATTTTTAAGGAATTAAAAAGTAAAAACACGCTGTCCTTATTTTCACCAATTTACCAATGTTAAAAAAGCTCTTCCTTTTGGTTTCATTTCCTATAAATGATGTAATACATACATGCTCCACTCTGTAGTAAACATGCTGGCACAACTAAAATTAACTTGAATGGAAACAGTAATACAAAACTTTCTTTAGTATGTATGTACTAAACAATTTGGAATTTATGTTGATTAACAGTGTCTGTTTACATTATTAAGTCATTTGTGATTGTAAGAAGGTTTTTTCTGTTAGTGTCAATCAAAGTTCCACAAAGACAAGGGACGAAATAAAATAAAACCTAAAAGATTTCTAACTAAAAGTAAAATTGGAGGGAAAGTGTTAAAAAACTGAAATCACCTGTTCTCTACCTAAAATCTCTCCAGCAACTTAATGAAATGAAAATCTCATAAGACATTATAAATGACTCTAAACACAAACTAGTTACTCTCCAAAGTTACCCTGAACCTACTAGTTATTAGAATTTATACAAAAATGACGTTTTGTTAAATTATAAAATTATTTACATATTATCACCAAATATGATCATACACAAAAACTATTAAAAATGACTGGTAGATGTATAACATTTAACAAAAGTGGAAAAAAATGAAGCAGTGATTTGTAGTTATGTTCATTTACTAATAAGATCTATATTATTTATTTATTTATTTATTGAGACAGAGTCTCACTTTGTCGCCTGGTAGAGTGCCACTGCGTCACAGCTCAGAGCAAACTCAAACTCTTGGGCTTAAGTGATTCTCTTGCCTCAGCTTCCCAAGGAGCTGGGACTACAGGCGCCCGCTGCAACGCCCGGCTATTTTTTGGTTGTACTTCTCACTTTTGTTTAGCAGGCCCGGGCCATGTTTAAACCCGCCTTACCTTGGTGTACACGGTCGGCGCCCTACCCACTGAGCTATGAGTGCCAGCAATAAGATCTATTTTAAATGAAATCTCTAACGGCAATATTCTACAGCCCAAAACTTTCCTAAAATACATGTAATGGACTTTAAACAAATTTTCTTTTTGCTTCATCAGAAGAAACCATCAAAGTTGTCTTTAATTCTAGTTCATTTATCCAAAAAGGATATAATTCCCAAATTCTGACTTAATCTTGTCCATGGTTTTCTGACTATTTCACTGGAGCTGAAACAGATCAAAATCTTATGCAGATCAATGTTAACTTCCTATGTCACCTTTTAAAGAGGTATAACTAAGTTTCCTGTACCAACTGTTAACTTCTCAAACACGTACATCATGAAGTGTGTTTCTCTTCATCTCAGATGTGTATAACTTAATTTCATCCCTGAAAATCAGTATGTAGATAAAAATTATTTGCTGCTGACAAAGAGAAACTATAGTATTCACACAGAATCAAATAAGTCTTTATACTTGTCTAAGTATTAGTTACCAGGGCTATTGTGAGACAGTCCTTATCTGCAATGTGCTCAAGAACTAATTAGTGAAATTCATTCATTTTAATGCATTTAGACTGTAACATCAAACATCTATATTAAACTTCCCTATAAACTTACAGTAAACCACCATTTTTTTCTCAACAGCCCAGTCTTTCTGAGATGGTTATATGCATATGCCTAGACAATGGTCCATTTGCCTACGGCTGGTTTCAGCTACAAAACAGGATTTGCTCAAATACCCCAAAGACAGTAACCTGAAGATTAAAAATTAACAACTTAGAAGAGACTGAAATATGTACCAAAAAAAGGCTCATATTATGAAAATTTGCTTTTTTAGACTCTTCAGCAATTAAAATGTAAAAAAATGCCTTAATGTCACTATTTGTGCCCTTATTTTCACCAATTTACCAACGTTAAAAAAAGCTCTCCTTTCTGATTTTATTTCCCATAAATGATGTACTATTGAAAAAAGGAACAACTTTCTAGTTAGTTTCAAAAACATAAGCCCAATAACTAAATTATCACATATTCCGACTAGTTCTGTACTTACTAAGCTAATCAAACCTGTACTTATCAAATTATTCTCCTTAAAACTCTGAACCAAACTTTTGCTCTACACTATTTTTTTGGACAGATTTCACCTGCTAATTTGCAATTAAACTAGTTTACGTATAAATCAAACTTTTCTGCAACTCCCATTACCATATTGTTCCTGCAATTTTTTTTGCTTTAAATAAAGGAAACAATGAATGCTCTTGTCTAAATATTTATCTGGCCCTCTTTTTCTCTAAAATGAAATGAAAGTATTGAAATGACTCAAATTCATACCAAAGTACGAAACTTTAAAAAGTTTAACGCCTATAATACATGTATTGGTCTATCATCCTGTAATGTCAACAAATTCAGTATACCAAAAACATGACATTAAAGAAAAACAATAATATTCACATTCTAATTTAAGAATTTCTATTTTATGGAAATCTGCATTTATCTTTTTATGAGGTAGTAAAAGGCAGGGTAAATAAAAAATGTTTAAATGTTCTTTAACCTACAATAGAGAATAGGGATTGGTTTCACGTGTAAAAATCTACAGGCCAAGTTAAACATGTGTGTTTTAGGAAATGCCCAATTTTCCCACAATAATAAATATCTCATATTGGAACATTCCAATACGAACAATGATTATTAAGTCATTTGAAGGTCCTATTTTTTACTGTAGAACCACAAACACACGTATATACTTACATCCCTACACATTTTTATCACATGAACACAATGGCCTTACAAATTAGGCAAAAAGTACCAAGACTTAGATCAAGGTACTTAAATCCAGTCCCAAGTCTGCCACTTATTAGCTTACTTGAAAATAATCACACATCACAGGGCTTGTCAGGAGTAATGGGTGGAGATAATACAGTAACTAAAATATGGTATCTCATAAGTATAAAATCTTCAAAGTATTTAATTAGATCAGGATGAAACCCCTAAAATAAAACTGTTACTATCCACTTCACAGAGGAAGATACTGAGGTCTTCGATGATTTCAGTCAACTTTCCTCAAAGTCACACGGAAAGACGAATGGTAGGACTGTGATAAAACTGAGGTCTAAATCTTCCCCTCCTTCTGCTAAGTTATTCTGGAGCACGTGAGAAAACTCTGTAAATTACATACCACTGTTAACACTGGCAGTGGGAAGTGAAAAGAACTTTTTTATTATAATAAAGAGACACGTTATCCTCCATCCCCCCAAAAGTGCTTTCTCTTCATGCTACATGTTCACATACTTAAGTTATGCTGGACGCCACTTGATATGGCTGACAAGTATGAAAATACCCACACACCTCCTTCAGTATCTTAAACGCATATCCTTTGGTGTTTTACAAGTTTGCATATTAGCAAGTTACTTGAGCCTCAAGTGGACTTATCTACTTTTTGCAGGCCATCAAGCACAAGGGAAGGGCTGCACTTAGGAAACGCCGCCGGCTTCGACCAAGCCACCGCGACAGCATGGACCACGTGGTGCCTCTCCCCAGCCGAAGACCCCAGTCCGGGCCCTCCTTCCGACAAGGAACTGGAAACTAGGCTTCCTTCCTGGTCGGTGGAGCCCTGACACATGCCACCTGTGTAGCACCGACCGCAAACATCCTCCCGCCTGCCTCCCGGAAGACCGCAAGGACCCGAATAATGAGGAACTTGGACGCCAACGATTCCGGGAAAGGAACCGACCGGAGAAGTAAAGCCGGCGACACGATGACAAGCGGCGGGACAGGGACCTGTCAAAACAGTGTAGGACTCTCGCCAAACGACCGTAACCTATCATTCAGGAAGGCCTGAGGTGGGAGCGGCACCACGGAAGGAGGGCGAAGAGGACCGCGCGAGCCGGAGCCGCCCGCACGCCTCGCAGCATGCTCGGCAAGCCGCGCACCCCGGCCCGCACCTCGGCTCCAACCTTTGCCCTAACATTCCGGGAGCGGCTAAAATCCGGCCGCCCAGGGCGGCCACCGCCGGACCTGACCGCACCTGTCACTAGCGAAAAGACACCAGTCCGCAGTTCCCGCCCAGTTCCCCACCACCCTCTGGCAACCGCGGCCACTTCAAGCCGTTTTCCTCACCAGGTGTCCCCTTTCCGGAGCGAGGTTTTGAGCAGCGTCGCGATGTCAGAACGCTGGGTGTCCAGATCCGCCGCTCCGCCTTCCGCCATCTTCTTCCACTAGCGGTAGCGGAGGCGGCAGCGACGGCGGCGGCACGCCCCAGAGCATTGTGGGAATGGCGTCCCCCGGCCCCTCCCAGTCGGCAGGTCGAAACCAAAAGAGCCGTAAGAGTGGGGGGGTGTCTCGGGACAAGAGGCGGCGCGGGGGACCGCCAGGGTGCGCGGCCGCGGTCTGCTGCCCCCCATCGGCCCCCGCCCGTCCAGCATCTGGCCGCGGCAGGCTGCGGCTGGGGACCGCCGGGTTTTAACTCTCCTCGATGACGGCTCGGCGCGCTCTCGCTGGAGCTAAGCCACCGCCCGGTCGGTTGTTCCCCAACTTCGCTTTCCCCTCCCTGGTTCCCACAGCCGCCGAAAGCCCTCATTTGCGCGCTCACTCACGCCCGAGGGTGGAGCGGGGCGGGGGGCGTGGGCACGGCCGAGACATGGCAGAACCCTGGCGGCTCGCTGGCTCTGGGATTTGCGTTGCGAGTGGCGGAACCTGAGCTCGGGTAATTGGCACAAAGAACAATCCGAAACCGAACGCTTGGCTGCGATGCCCTCCCTGGGTTCTACCCAGCAGTCTTACTTCTGCTGTAGGTGGGAACCTTGTATAGTCTCTTTGTGACGCCTCCCGGGCACACCCAGACAACTGAGCTGCGGTGGAAAACATGTCCCAGTTCCTCGGTGAACCAGGAGTGAAATATGGGCAGTCTTGCACGAGTCTCGGAACGGCGGGAGAGTAGAGGGGAAGGAAGCGTGCACGGCGCCCTTTTCTGCAGCTGAGAGCCTCCTCTCCCCACCGTGTCGTGCACCTGAAATGGAACCACATAAAACCACCTATGTGAAGTCAACAAGTATGTTCCCAATGAGGAAATCGAGTCTCTGAAAAATAAGATGCCAAGGTCACACAGTCGGCATGTGGAGAGGCAGGTTCCAAAGCCCACGTGCTAGGCTATTATAAAAGTGTCCAACCTTTTTTTTTCCTGCCGCACTTGGGAAGAAGAAAAGTTGCGTGGGGCCACACGGTAAATACACAGACTAACGAAAGCTGACGAGCCAAAAAAAAAAAAAAACGGGGGGGGGGAGCTTGCATACTTTTTGCGACACTGAACACCACAGATAAGCAAAAACAGTCTTCCCAGAAATCAGCACGGGGCCTCAGGTTGGACACCCTTGTAGGGTATAGCACATTCACTGCCTCTTAGGAAAACCTGGACTAAAACGTGAACTCCATAAGAGCTAGAACTGGGTTCATCTACACCTAGTGGCTGCACGGATAAAACTTCTGCCTAATAAGTAAAAGCTACTAAATGTTTGTTTAGTGAATTAACTATAGCACAATTGCTTACGTATTTCCAAGCGTGAAGATGTCCAGAGCTTTGACTGTAAGATGATATAATGTAAAAATGTGTAAGAGATGGCCAAGAATCCCCACATAATTTCTCTTGTTTCCCCTCTTTTAATGCCAGCCCTAACTCATTTTGGCAGGAGCGCTGTAAAGCGGGGTATAGTTTTGCTGGTGGGACCTGGTCAATCCTTCCAAGTGAAAGCAGTGTGTATTGGCATTATGATTTGTGTATATCAGCATTTTGATCGTTTGTTTCTGTGTAACAATCTATTTTGCATGATCACATCAATCTTGATCTGTCAGTCTCAAAACAACTTGCAGTTGCAACTATTTCTTGTATTACTTGGATTTTTTCCTAATAGGTTAAAAGAGTTTCTTTAACCACAAGTACCCTCAAAGGGTCACATTTTTTTCCCCGTGAGGGTTAAATTATTTCCCTCTTCCACCTACTCTCTGAAAGAGAACTAAATAATTTTCCAAAGAGAGGTAAGCATGATATGGGAAGAATATGTGGGAACTACAAGAACATGAGTTCAATCCTCACTTCAACCTGTAGCTGCAAAGGACTTAACTTTTAGTTTAATCATAAAATTGAGTATAATAATCCCTACCTTAAAGGATTTTTATCAAGAATAAATGAAGCAGTAAGTGTTTATTCCCTGGGAAAGAATAGCCAATCAATAAATACTGATGTTGTTTACTGATGATAGGGTGAATTGCATAGTATGTGAATTATTGCTCAATGGAGCTGTTGAAAAAAGCAAAGCGTTAGGGTCTTTGAAGGCAAAACTGTGCTCTCTGTCATTTTATAAACATAATATAACCAATACTTCATTCCTACTTTGCTGTCCAGTTTCCCTTCAAAGAAAATGCATTTTTGAGGTGTTGAAGCCTGTAACCATACAGCAAAGTAAAATCATCTTTTATTCACTGGTACCGTGTTCAAGACAGCAAGGTAACTGAGTATAGATGTGTAAATTCAATGTCAGCCTGAATTATACATAGTATTTATGAGTTCATTTTGTAGACCTAATTGTTATTGGAGTCGGGAAAGAAATAATTACCAGTGTTTTACTTTGAATCAATAGTCGAGGAATTGAGGCAAGTAAATGGCAGAAGCTTCTAGCCTGTTATGAAAAAATCCAAGGAATTGAAACCAGGAATTCTGGCTGCAAAACCTAAAAGGTTTAGGAAAATTTCCATTTTCTACTGACCTTAATAATTTGTTTATAGCAATCAACTTTTTAGTAACCTCAGTCCATCAATTTATGGAAATCCTGCATACTTTACTGATGCTTTTTCTCTCAATTATGAAGAGAAAAAGATACTGTTCATAAATCCTAAATTGGTTAGGGACTACATGCATGCGTCTCTACTGAATAAGTAAATAAGTAAATGGAAAAAGCTACTTCACCTTGAATCACAGATAATTGAGTATAAGTCAGGGATTGGCTCTGTTTACTGTTTAGGAATGTACTATTTGCTTGGTGACTGTTACCTTCTCAGAACCTCTATGCCTTTCTTTTCTATTTAAAACTTAATTAAGAGATTTGAGTGGGGAAAGGGAGTATGCTGAGAATTTTAGGAATTAGTCTCAACATAAACAATGTGGACCTTCTATAAAGTCAGAATTTGTTTTGAAATTAGAGATACTCTAGGAAGAATTACTTGACCCTTAAGTCTCCCTCTGATCACTGGTTATTAAACAATTTCTTTAAGTTTCTTGTATTTGACAGTCAAGAGATGGGATTTCAAGTGTAAATATTTCAGGAAGAGAGTAAGGCTTAAAAACAAGGGAGTCAAAGAAAACCATTTTCAGCCTAGGGTGAACCAGAGAAAGAAGAAAAATCACCAATTTTTTTTTTTTTTTTAACAGAGTTGAATGGAGGAACATAAAGGAGAATAAGCTTTGCCTACTTCACAATTTTGTGTGGGGCGGCTACATGAGCCCAAGGGAAGATCTAAAGACTAAGTGGATTTTACAAATCATATATATACACACACATATAGACACACAGAATTAGCACTTCCTCTAAAAGAACATTGTGAGATGACCTGGCTGTCTTTTATTTCTCAACTCTTTCTGTCCTTGATCTTCACGGAAAACTGTCTCAGTTTTCTTTCACTGAGGTCCTTCCTCTGCAGTATTCCCCTGATAACCCCACCACCTTCTCATTCTCATCACCTCTCTGAACCCTTCATGCTTTTCTCTTACATAATTTTATAATTCCCTCATCCCTTTACCAGCTCTCTGAACAGCTAAAAGGCAGTGGAAAGGCGGGGGAGTAGAGCAAACACCAAAATAGCATGTAGTAAAGTGCTTAATCTGTTAATGATGTTTTGAAACTTGAGAGATGAATAAAAAATTGTGAGTGCCACGATGGAGTTTGGAAAGCTTGAAAACAAACCAGACAGGCTCCTTACTTCAGAAAAGTGTTAGGTTTTGATAAAGAGAATGGAGGAGGAGTGAAATGAACATAGTACCTTTTACAACAAGCCTGTATGCTTGGATTTTGCCCCTGGCTCGGGGCCACTACTAGCTGGGTGACCTGGGCCAAGTTATTTAATCTCTGTGAACATTCGTCTTCTCATTACAAAGTAAGGTGATTAGACTTCAGAGGCCAAAACTCAAATACTGGTAGGGGTTAGATAAAGCTAATGGTAATGAGTGAAGCATTTTTTTTTTTGTTAGATAGGGAATTGTGAGGTTGCTGTTGAATTATCTGCCTCCAGTAAAGGTATTTACATTTTTAAAAATTAGAAAAATAACACTGTATTTCCTACCCTGTAGGATCTGGAAAGTTTAATTTTGGCATGGGCATAAAGTCTACAAATTAATTTGGGTTTCTATTTATAGCCTTTTTAGAAGCACAAACAACAGTGCTCTACAAGCTGCCACTACCATGAAGTTTGGTGTCAGTCTCCTTTGTAGGAGATTCTCAATAAATGGTGATAGAAATAAACCTATTTAAATCAATAAATCAAGTAGTCTAATGGGTCTAGAATTATGGTAAAATAAATCCTCACTAGACATAAAATATTATGCAGATCCTAGGTATTTAAAAATCTAATGTGCATGTATGGTAAGAAACTTTCAAGAAAAAGTTGATTTATCCCATTCAACTAAGGGTAATATAGTCAAAATTGATAATAGAAAAAACCTGCCTATTTTGTATTTTCTTTCTTATTTACATTTATTTACAGATTTTGAGGTTGATAAACTACTGCCTGAAATGTTTAAGCAGCCTTTGGGTCTTTCTCAAACCTTATAATAACAGATGGAATTCAGAAAGACAAAAATCATTTCAGATCTGTAGATCTTTTGCTTTAAATGGGCAAGTTAAATAACTTGTTGATCTTAACATTTTATACTTGATCATTTTTACTTTAAATCAATTTCGTCCAAAAGCTTGATGATGTTTTCTTTTATGCCCATGGATCTTGAAAATCTACACAACCAAACTGAAGCAGAGAGCTACAGCGATCCCATGATTCTGCAGCTATAGAGATTCCAGAGGGATTAAGTTTGTTTTCTCCCAAGAGAGGACTGAATTATTAAAATATTCTGTTTGAACAATCCCTCTCTTCATTTTGGCTGAGATAGAAAAAAAAAAGATTTTAAACTGCTTATGGAGAGTTTTAGAACAATATAATAGCAGATCTCATGTTCCAGAGGTGATGGAAACCTTGGAGTTGGCATTGATTATGATGCTGTTTTCCAGGCGTCTCTAAGCATGGG